CGAACAAGCTGAATCAAAATCGAGCAAGCTAAACAATACTTCAAAAAAATCCATCCCGCGCGTATCAACCTCTGAACACCTTCCCATCTCCTCAATTCTAAGCCAAACAATCTGAAACTAGTCAAACAACATGCAAATGAATCAAAATACGCTATAATGCTTACAATTTAACAATTTATAAAAATTTCCAACTCAACTTGAAAAGTCGACAATGGGGCCCACATCTCGAAACCCGACGGAACTCACAAAATCCAACAACCCATTCAATTACGAGTCCAACCATACTAATTTTACTAAAATCTTACTCCGAATCGATGTTCAAAACTCGAAAATTCATTTTATGGAATTTTAAAAAATTCCTCCGATTTCTCTTGAAAAATCAATAATCTAACGCCGAAAATGAAGATTAATTTATGAAATATAATCACAAGGGAGTCAAGAACACTTACCCCAAGTTCTGTGGTGAAATTCCTCTTCAAGGTCGCCTAAACCGAGCTCCAAAATTCGAAAAATGGGCAATATGTTGAACCCCTCGAATATAAGGCATTCTGCCCAGCGTTTCCGCATTTGTGGACAGTAGGTCGCATTTGCGACCATCGCTTCTGCGAGACAGCCTTGGCCAGCAGTGATCGCTTTTGCGATGCCAAGGACTGCATCTGCGGTCGTGCTTCTACGCATGTTCCTCCGCATCTGCGGCTCCTGCCCAACAGTGCCTAGTCCGCTTATGCGATGGGTTGCTCGCTTCTATGGAGTCGCTTCTGCGACCAAGCTTCCGCAGAAGCGGTTGCACTAGCAACCCCAAATTCCAGCAGCTTCAACAAGGTTTCAATCAATTTGAACCCCGTTTGAAACTCACCCGAGTCACTCGTGACCTCGTCTGAATATACCAATAAGTCCAGTAACATAACACAGACTTACTCGAGGTCTCAAATTACATCAAACAACATTGAAATTACAAATTGCACCTTGAATCGAACTTATAAATTTTCCAAATTTCCAAATTCTATATCTTTGTGCCGAAACGTGTCAAATCAACCCGAAATTACTTCAAATTTTTTACACGATTCATAAATGACATAATGAAGTTGTTCTAATTTACGGAATCAGATTTCGACCCCGATATCAATAAAGTCAATTCCCGGTCAAACTTTCAAACCTTCAATTTCTTACTTTCGTCATTTCAAGCCAAATTCAACTACAAACTTCAAGATAAATATCCATACACACTTCTAAGTCTGAAATCATCATACGGAGCTATTGAAACTATCAAAACTCCATTCCGGAGTCGTTTACACAAAAGTCAAACTCCGGCCAACCCTTTTCATTTAAGCTTCTAACATGAAATTCATTCTTCCGAACTAATCCCGAAACACCTAAAAATCAAAAACGACAATTCACACCCGTCACAATACATCATATGAAACTATTCAAGACTTCAAATAGTTGGAATAAGCATAAATGTTCAAAACGACAAGTCGGGTCGTTACACTTAGGGTTGTGCATAATTTGATAAATACCAAATTACCGTACCAAAACCGGAAATTTTGGTATTTGGTATTCGATATTTTGGTATTTGGTATGGTATTTGATTTAAGTTTTAAAAAATATTGGTATTAGGTATGGTATTTGGTATTTTAAAATGAAATATCGAAATACTAATATCGTACCGAAATATATGTTATATTACATAATACACATATTATTAATTATAACATAAATATAAAAATCTAAATTTTTACTTTTCTTTATTTTCTAAGTTCATCAATTAACTCTACGCAAGTAACAAGACATCTCTAATGATCAAATTTATTCTTTTATGTACAATTTTCTCTCTCTAGGTTGATATTTGTTAGTTTTGGACAAATCTTTTGTCAACAAATATTTTTAGTTTTTTACTTTTGAGTTCTTTAATTTAGAATATTACAGTCTATGACTCTATGCACTAGTTAGTATTCAAACCGAACAAATCAAAGTTACCAAACCAAATAAACCGAAATCGAAAGGAGAAAAATCGAACCATACCGAATTTAATTAGGTACGGTATTGGTATTGCATTTTAAGAAACCGAATATTGAAAATACCGAACCGAAATGTCTAAATATCGTACCGTACCGACCGACGAACACCCCTAGTTACACTTACCGCAATTTGTGTTTTCATAACCTGCATGGTTTATACCTTATTTTAAAAATAAAATATGTTACTGAATATTTGAAATTGCATGTGAGACAAGTACTTTACTTGATATGGTGCTGAACAATTTACTTGAGATGTTTACAATTATTTAAAATATTTTCACTGTTACTAGACATGTTTTACTGTTATTTGAGACATGATTACCGTTACCAAAATTGGATTACATGATTTGATAAGAATTGAAATGCCTTGTGCTATTTTGAAAATGCTTTAATGTGAACATTTACTGTTTACAAAGAAAAGTATAAATGGGAGAAGACTTTGAAGGATCTTGTAGCTAACGACGCATTTGTTAGACCTAGTGCACCTTGTATTTACAGATTACCGATTACAGTTATAGCCCTCGCTAGTGGGAAGATAAAACTAGCATACAGTTACAATTTTCCCTCAAGTAAGGACCTACAGTTATATTTGACTCCTTTCACGAACGGGTCCACACAGTGATATAGATTACATGATCCTTCCTTGAAAATCTCCCAAATATGAATATTGATATTACACAGTATTTACCGAGCTTATTACTGAATTGTCAATTGAATTATATTACACGAAAAATATGATGAGACTGATTATTGTTTATTGTTTCTGAAAGGGCATTCTTATAATATTTTCTATTTAATATACTAGCATATTTTCTGACTTGTCCCCAATAAAACAGTTGTGGTTAAGTGTTATTACTCATTGAGCTAGCGACTCATTCCCCGCTATTTTTTTTACAGAGACAACAGTTGACACAAGCGAGTATTTCGTTAGTTAGAGCGCACAAGTTGATAGTTCTTGATGAGCCCCGTATTTGTTCACGTGGGCAAGGAGTTAAATTAATTGTTATGGTCTTTATTAAATTAATTGTTATGGTCTTTATTAAATTAATTGTTATGGTCTTTTCTTTGAACTCTTAGAGTTGCTCCATAGTCATTCTTTTAGTGTCATGAGTCATTTTTATGATAAGTTATTATAATAATATTGAAAAGTGTTTCATTGTTTCAATATAATCATTGCTTGTCGTATTGCTTTGACGAAGACAATTGTAAGCCACGGTAAGTTGAGACTTTTCAATGTTGAGAATAAAAATAGTAAAAGAGAAAATAAAAAAGGTAAATATATAAATAATAATATGGGCCCGTATTAGTTATTAGGATATAAATGAGGCAAAAAAATAGATACCCTACCCATGTAAGAAAATAATTCATTAAAAATTATTCCATTATTTAATTAATACAACGATCATCACATGAAAGTAATTGTACTTTCGCTCCAAAAATTCTTTTTAAATTTAAATATACACTCATTTTTTTTAATAATACATATAAAATATAGCTTTTAGAAAAAAATGGGGCCCTTCTATTACTTTACTGGACTTATAGTGGAGCCACCCATGGTTGAAAATCATTCCAAATTTGTTTCATTTGTCCAGTTTCATTTTCAGTTAAATAGAATATAGTGATAACTTATTCTTTTGAAAATGTTCTTTTCTTTTCTTACAACCGTTAGATGGATTATGAGTATTCGTCAATTAAATGAAATTAATTATGAGATGAATTAAACATTTATTTTGTAAGAATATATTAGTCTTATTCGAACCAAAAATCAAAATTGATCAAACTACAAGGAGATTGGATTGTTTCCGATAAACCCTCAGCTCTCTCCCTCCAAAAATTTCGCACCTTGCTCTTGGGCCTTGGGGTGACTCGAACTCACAACCTCTTGGTTGGAAGTGGAGGGTATTCACCACTAGAGCAATCCACTCTTGTCACAAGTGATCAAACTAATTAAACATTTATCCCATTTGAACCGCACAAATGATAACACATTAACAAACAAGGGCGTGGTGAAGTGGTTAATACTCCTTCATTCTCAAATTCGAATTCTTGAATATGAAGTCGCTTTTATTAGGGAGTGCTTTACCCAACGTCCAATATGAATAAAAGAAAGAAAGAAAAGATAACACATTTATATTTAAAGCAATTTGACATAGGAAGAGAGGGTTTGCAAATGAGGACGTACGACTCCGATCCACCAACTCGTCGCCATCTTATTTGTCGTGTAAGTCATAGGGAGTCATATGTGTTGTTGTGACATGATTCTTGTCATATCACGTAACTTCTGTCACTTTTATGTCGTATGCAGAGTGACTTACAGGCCAGCACTACTAAATTCGTATATACAATATACTTAGTAGAAAAGCTGGTTATTGTACCTAGTAAAACGTAGAAGTATAATGTACAAATACGAAAGAGTAGTAGTAGTGTATCTCGGCTTAGAAAAAAACAGAAGAAATAGAGTAATTAATAAATGGAGAGAGAGAGAGAGTCAGAGAATCAGAGGCGCATGCAAAAACACTCATCATGCTGTCCTCTGTGACCCACGCATACTTCCCATGCCTCTCCTTTTCTCTCCTTTCCATATCTTACTCTCCTTTCCCTCTTTTGCCCTTTTATCTTTTCATAACTAGATTTTTAAATTTCTTTTTCTGTTGACCTTTTCTTAGCTTTGGGAAGCCCTTTTCTTTTTAGATTAATAATCTTTTGCTAAATTTTGATAACTTATCATTTTACCACGTTTTCTATTGTTTTCATGCAGTCCCATGCAAGTTTCTTTAGAAAGAATGATTTTCAGTATCATTTATAATTTGAATAGAAAAAAATTAATTTATAAAAATTTCATATGAAAGTAAATAAAGGGCATAATAGTCATAACAACGTCTTTATCAGAAGTATGCCAAATGTGGTGAGAGGAACAGCGGTCAGCAGAATAGTACTAGTGTAGTAGTAGGCGTAGGGTGATTGGCCTGAGAAGAGAGAGTAAAAAGAAGCCAAGAATATCCTCTCCCCACACTGTCCTAAAGCTGGAAGAAGTTGACAGACGGACCACTGATATACCCATTGCTACTGCGTAGTATATAGTTAGAAGATACCTCTAAAACCACTTTCCCAAATCCAAATAAAAGCCTTATTTCTCTCTCTTAGTCGCTCTCAAATCCGGGGTTTATACCTTTACTTTTTCAACCCTCAATTTCATTCACTGTATTCAATTCAAGATCCGCTCTCTGATAATATCATCATGCCTACTAGATCTTCCGCTGCTGTCTTTCATGGCGTCCGTACTTTGAAAATTTGGTAGGGGGGCTGCTGAGGTTGGTTTGCTTTTTTGTTCAAACCCTTTAATTAAAGATGCTGCTGTTGCAAAGTTTGGGTACTAAAGTTCTCAGCTGGAAACTAATTCATAGCCATGAAGATCTGTTTCTTGGTCTATTTGTTTCTTCTTCTGAGGCCTAAAGTTTGGATATTTTAGTAAATATCCCAGTTCTTGTTATCTTGTTTCAAGATCCAAAGGTTGCTGTTTTGGTTGTATTAAGGGAAAGGAAAAAGAAGCTCGGAAATTTCTAAAGGAATAATGGAGAAATATTAGTAGTAGTTTTAAGGAAAAATACAAGGTTTTTTTTTGGTAATGGTGAACGATAAGTGGAGTAGTATATTTTTAGTTTATTGGAAGCTCTGAAATCGAAAGATACAACAAGTTGTCTAGTGCTTGACGCCAAGGATATATAGTGCCGTTTCATTTTGGTAATTGGTTTTCTTGCATTTTGAGAATCATTCTCTCTTTTAGTATTACCAAGAAAAGGTCATATCCAATTCCATATCACAGACATTCTCATTTTGTTCAGAGCTCCAAACAAAGAAAAGACAAGAATAATGCTAAAAGTCTCAAGTGCTTGAAGCAGAGTAAGTAAGTCCTGTGCTTGTTTATTGAGAACTTGTAAAATTTTAAAGGGCATATTTGTAAATCAAGCAATGGCTTCCTGCAAGGATGGTAAGACGTCGTCAGTATTGGATAACGGAAAATATGTCCGGTATACACCTGAGCAGGTTGAAGCACTTGAGAGGCTTTATCATGATTGCCCTAAACCTACTTCCATGCGCCGTCAGCAACTTATCCGTGAATGTCCTATTCTCTCCAATATTGAACCTAAACAAATCAAAGTCTGGTTCCAGAATCGAAGGTACTACTTGTACAATTTTCTCTATATTCTCTTGTTAAATCTTACCCCCTTTATTTCCCAAATTACATTTTTCGAGTTCCTAGCTATTTTCTCTATGTTTTTTCTTTGTTCAACAATATGCACTTCCATTTTCATTTATTATCCCATTCTATTGTCTCCTTTTTCTATTCCTACTAATTATGTGTGAATGACGTAAATTTTTGATCTTTTTTCAATTTTGGATAAATGTAGATGCAGAGAGAAACAGAGGAAAGAGGCGTCACGGCTACAAGCTGTGAATAGGAAGCTGACGGCAATGAACAAGCTATTAATGGAGGAGAATGACAGATTACAGAAGCAAGTTTCTCAACTCGTGTATGAAAATGGCTACTTTCGCAGGCAAACTCACAGTGTAAGAATTTTCCCCCCATATATGTAAAACCATTTTTGTTCCTTATCATCAAGATAATAAGGCTTGTTTTTTCTTTTCTTTCTGTAAATGCAGACAACGCTTGCAACAAAAGATACGAGTTGTGAATCAGTGGTGACGAGTAGTCAACACCACTTGACATCTCAGCATCCGCCAAGGGATGCTAGCCCTGCAGGGTTAGTGAGTGGGATTACAGTTGTTGGGTCCTTTTCTTGTAAACATCGTGGTTTGTGAGTTTGTGACCATTTTCCTTGTTTTTGTGTGCTTTTCCAGGCTTTTGTCCATTGCAGAAGAAACTTTAACAGAGTTTCTTTCAAAGGCTACTGGAACTGCTGTTGAGTGGGTCCAAATGCCTGGAATGAAGGTATTTTAAAATAAATTAGAGTTTTAACTTGGATACACAGTTAGTGTCATAGAACATGTAAAAACGTTTTATTTTAACATGATATAAAACAGTTTGTTTTCTAGCATATAGCATACTAATCTCATCTTATGGATGATTACCTCTAATTATCTATTAGGCGGCTTGATAGTGCTGAATTCTTCTAATTTTGTATTAATATTCAATGGTTTGGTTGTCACTTTCTTGTTATTGTAGATTAATTGTGCTTTAAGTCGTACTCCATCTATTTCAATTTATGTGAATCTATTACTATTAGGTGAGTCAAACAAGACTTTCTTTGGCCACGTTTATTGAAAATATTTTTGAATATTTTGAATTGTTAACTATTGTAACTTATAATACTTTCTTTATAGTTTTTTGAATATGTAAATTTTAATTCAAAAATTTTGAAATCCTGTGGCATAATTCACACAAAAAATTAGCCAGTTTAACTCTCATTGGTCCACATAAATTGAAACGGAGAGATTAGATTATTTTAACATAAGCCAATGTGAAATCAAAGGCGGAGCCATGATTTCAATTTTATGGGTTCTGAATTTTAGAATGACAACTTTAAGTTTCGATAACTTCGATAACTGGGTTCTAAACTTAATATTTTTTCTTATTTAATGAATTTCTTAATACAATTACACTATTAGAACAAAAGTTACCGGGTTCAGCCGAACCCATACATGGGCTACTAGCTCCAACCCTTTGTGAAATTGAATAGCAGCAATACATGCATTAACTATACTGGCATAAGAGCTTAAAATGGAAAATCTCCTTTGTAATATTATCTGTTTAACTAACCATCTCTTGCTTGTTCTCCTCTTTTTTCCTATGGTTTTCTTAGAAATGTGTTTTATTTGATAAAATTAGTAATTAATTGTGAAAAATTTATGTCTATTTTAGTTTTAGTACATAAGATAGATAATAAACTTAATGTTAAATTGGAGTTAGGTATGGAAATAGGCCAAGGTTATTATTAGCTTACAACTTTTTATGTAATTAAAACCAATCATATTTTTTAAAGTTATGCACTAAGCAGCGAACCTCTTACAGATCCCATAATATGTTAAAACAATATAAAGAGTATTATTAACAGCCATCATTATGATCAGGTTTTTTATATTTTCAATTATCATACATATCTTCTCATGCTGGAGATTAATATAAGTCATACCATAATTAACTTATAAAGAGTTATAAAATGCCATAATCTTACAGTCTGGGGATGGATATTCTCACTACTACATTTTGGTGCATTAGTGTCGGATCTCAGGCTCATATTTATAGAAAAGTTGTCCTCCCTTGGGCTTATTGATTGGTCAATACCAATCATTCAGAAACCGTGAGGACATTAGTGTATCATGCCACATTTTCATGTCTCCTTTTTTTCCTTCTTTCTGTAGCCATATTATTTCTGGTCCAAATTCTCAGTACTGATTTAACTCTATCTAATGATCTCTCTGTTGAAATGAACAGCCTGGTCCGGATTCCATTGGAATCATTGCTATTTCTCATGGTTGCACTGGCGTGGCAGCACGAGCCTGTGGCCTGGTTGGTCTAGAGCCAACGAGGGTAAGCTGATCATCTATTTCTAAATTTATATTTCTGGCACTCTAACGTGAAATTAATTCTGTGAGATCTCCCCAGGTTGCTGAAATCCTTAAGGATCGCCCCTCTTGGTTTCGAGACTGCCGGGCCGTTGATGCTCTCAATGTGCTGCCTACTGCCAATGGTGGAACCATTGAACTTCTTTATATGCAGGTAATCATCTATTTCTAAATTTATATTTCTGGCACTCTAACGTGAAATTAATTCTGTGAGATCTCCCCAGGTTGCTGAAATCCTTAAGGATCGCCCCTCTTGGTTTCGAGACTGCCGGGCCGTTGATGCTCTCAATGTGCTGCCTACTGCCAATGGTGGAACCATTGAACTTCTTTATATGCAGGTAGGTTACTGTAATGTTACTTCTCGTGTTTGTGTATTCATTCTCTCTATACCTTCTTGAACTTATAAAATATTTTATTTTTAGCTTTATGCACCAACGACGCTGGCACCTGCCCGTGACTTCTGGCTGTTGCGGTATACAACTGTTATGGATGATGGCAGTCTCGTGGTAAGGATTTATTTTGTCTAGTTAGTACTCTTCTAATATCAAAAATTATAACTTGCGAAGTCTCTGGACAATGTGTAAATTTCTCCAATGTCACTGAAATGTGTCGGAGGAAGTAGCAATCCATGTTGGTATAAATTAGCGGCTGATGAATATCATAGAATGCTTGAGAATTTTCTCCAGTTGCACCTTCACTTTCTTTACATTTATTCACATGCAGCGTGAACTAACATGTCTCATTTGATAAAATGCCTAGGTGTGTGAAAGGTCACTTGGAAATACTCAAAATGGTCCTAGTATGCCACCAGTTCAGAATTTTGTGAGAGCAGAAATCCTACCTAGTGGATACCTGATTAGACCTTGTGAGGGCGGTGGTTCAATTATCCACATTGTCGATCATATGAATTTAGAGGTAAAGTTGTAGTCCATTATTTCCTGCTCTGTTTCACTCTGCCTACTCTTTCGCTGTTATGGTTGACGATATTATTACTGTTAGGCATGGAGTGTGCCAGAAGTGTTGCGCCCACTTTATGAGTCATCAGCAGTGCTAGCTCAGAAGACGACAGTGGCAGTAAGAATTTTTTTTCAAATTGGTTAATACCACATGATGGATTGGAGAGTAATATTTGCATTCTGGACACTCAATCGCATCCTCTTCGCAGGCTCTACGATACCTCAGACAGATTGCACAAGAGGTTTCACAGACTAATGTCACTAACTGGGGAAGACGACCAGCAGCTCTACGCGCATTAAGCCAGAGGTTGAGCAGGTTTGGAAATCCTCTTTTTGATGGATGCTCTTTCAGTGTTCTATAGTTTTTTAAGTAATTAAAATCAATTATTTTGGCAGAGGCTTCAATGAGGCTCTGAATGGTTTGACTGATGAGGGTTGGTCAATGCTCGGTAGTGATGGAATGGATGATATTACCATCCTTGTGAACTCTTCTCCTGACAAATTGATGGGCTTAAACCTTTCTTTTGCGAATGGATTTTCATCTTTGAGCAATGCAGTTATGTGTGCAAAAGCGTCGATGCTTCTACAGGTCTGTTCACTTCACTCAATACTTTGAAGCCTGTAAAATTTGATTGCAGGTTTCCTGTTTGTGTAAGTGGATAAATAAAGGTTTCTTGTTTTTATTGTCCAGAATGTGCCTCCTGCTATACTTCTGAGGTTTCTGCGGGAGCATCGATCTGAATGGGCAGACAACAATATTGATGCTTACTCTGCTGCAGCCATCAAAGTTGGTCCCTGCTGCCTTCCTGGGGCTCAAGTTGGTAACTTTGGGGGTCAAGTGATACTTCCACTGGCGCATACTGTTGAGCATGAAGAGGCAAGCTTAGTAGATTTATTTAATCTTACATTGTTTTGCATGCCTAAAACTGTTCCAATCTTTCTTACTTGGAGATTTTCTTGTGATTTCTTGTCTTAGTTTCTGATGATGTGCTCCTTTTTTGCTTAGTAGTTGCTGGAGGTCATTAAGTTGGAAGGAGTTGGCCATTCTCCTGAGGATACTATAATGCCGAGAGATATGTTTCTGTTGCAAGTACGTTTTATTTCTGCCCATGTAAATCTAGTCCTTGTGCTGTCCATATTTTCAACCTTTCTGGTGCCATATAAAATGAAATCTAATTTTATCAAAAATTATTTATTTGAAGACAATGTTTCTATATCTTGTGTCTACTTTAATTGCAGAATATGAGAATGTCATTCCTTGAATTGAAAGATTTTTCTGATGTGTGGAACATGGCATTACATCAACAAGCAAAGGCAAAAAAGAAACTTTTAGCATGGAAAAGATAGAATTTTTAAGTATATTATGTAGTATGGAAAGAGCACAACTTTAATCAATGCGCGTGCTGCTTAGCATATTTGTTTTGGAGCGTCTTAGTTATTTCGCAGGCTTTGAAAAGTTATCTAGAACCATGATTAATCCGTTTTGGATAATAGATCTCCCATCTTATTTGACAAAAGTCATTATGCATGGTCATCTAATGTTTCACTTTCTTGCATTGTGTCCGATGACTCCCTAGCACTTATATTAGCATACCATGACTATTTAACTGGACTCATATTGGTCAATTCTGAGATAGAAAACTGAGTATTGTGGGCATCTGTTGACTCTTAACATGGTTTATAACCACTCTTTTGATTTCCCTGCTCACCTGCTAAAATAGGAATCTGGAAACAGATACTGTGGAATTTGTTTCCAATGAGACTTGGGTGTTTCACTGTTTCTGAGCAGGCTGCAATCTTTTCTGCTCTCGTATTGCTTTTTTCTTGCGTCTCTGATACTTGTGGTAATAGTCACTTTACATGCTTTTTGACAGCTATGCAGTGGAATGGATGAAAATGCTGTTGGAACCTCCGCCGAACTCATATTTGCTCCTATTGATGCCTCGTTTGCTGATGATGCACCATTGCTCCCGTCTGGGTTTCGCATTATTTCTCTCGAATCTGGAAAGGTTAGCATTTGTATTCTCTCATTAGCACTTTTTCTTTTAGAGGTTTCTTATCCCCTCCATGTTGCTAATATGGAACTTTGTGCAGGAATCCTCCAGTCCGAACCGCACCCTTGATCTTACTTCTGCTCTCGAGACTGGCCCAGCCGAAAACAAAGTGGGCAATGACCTTCACACTAATGGTGGCACATCAAGATCTGTCATGACAATTGCTTTTCAATTTGCATTTGAAAGCCACATGCAAGAAAATGTTGCTTCAATGGCTCGACAGTATGTCCGAAGCATTATCTCATCTGTTCAGAGGGTTGCATTAGCACTTTCACCGTCTCACTTGGGTTCCCATGGAGGTCTTCGTCTGCCATTGGGTACTCCTGAAGCACATACATTAGCTCGTTGGATCTGCCAAAGTTACAGGTTTGTTGTATATACTTGCATGTGTGCCTAAAACAGGAACACTCTTCAAGTCATGATTGTCACATATCAGCTATTGTGCATGTGATTTCCTATATCAAATTCTAAATAATATACATGACTTTATGGCAACCTTAGTTGGTTTATGTCATATAAAAAAATTGGTTACCTGCCTCTAACAAAAGGGTGTGATCCTCTTCTTTAGCTTGATTTCTTTCTTTGATTTGTCTGCCTCTGATTGAGTTATGGAGTTTGACATAGATGTCCCTTGATTATTTTTTAATTATATTTTTTGCTTCATAAGGTGCTTTTTGGGCGTGGAGCTTCTGAAATCGATTGCTGAAGGAAGTGACTCAATCCTCAAAAGCCTATGGCATCACTCGGATGCTATTATCTGCTGCTCTGCTAAGGTTTCAGCACTTTCTCACGTCAATCTCATATCAATCTTTTGCTTATTGGGGACTCTCTGTGCAGACCTCTGCCGCCAAATTAGAAGAAACTTTTTCCAATTTGTCATAATTAGGGATTTTGACAGCTTTTTATTATTCGTTTTGGTTGCAAGTTTAGTTCTTCTGAGTACTGAATTCTTAAGTTCAATAATTATGCAGGCTTTGCCAGTTTTCACGTTTGCAAATCAGGCTGGTCTTGACATGCTTGAGACAACCTTGGTTGCACTTCAAGATATTACCTTGGAGAAAATTTTCGATGATCACGGAAAGAAGAACCTCTGCACTGAGTTCCCACAGATAATGCAACAGGTAATTATTCCTTTTATGAGGATCTTTACACAAATAGCCGGCCATATTCGTTATTTACTTTTTTTAGCCGTATATATAGTTTATACATTAATTATACACAATTATACATATATAATACATAAATTATGCATATATTATACCTCCATCGGCTCTTTTTAGTTTAAGCGGTTGGGTGGGTGGCTATTTGGGTTAATTCTTCAAAAAAAAATGCATGCAACTAGGAAGTGATTGGGTGATCTTGTAGATGTGATTACAGTGTGCTTATTGTAACCATGTCAAACTGATCCAGTAACACCTGAAATAAACCCAATTCTTAAAAGGTCGGCAAAAATTCACAAGATATAATATGCTCACTCTAATAAATTAATTAGTGAAGGGGAACATTGGCGCAACAGTAAGAGTTGCTGCCGTGTGAGGTCACGACTTCTTATCAAGACTCTTGATTAGTCGTATCTTTCTAAGACGAAAAAGTGAGCAGTAGCTTCTTAGTCATGTTGAACTTTTCTTGATATTGAATATCACGATCGCAGCAGTTCTAACTATATTGCCATAATTCATTGACAGGGTTTTGCATGTCTTCAAGGGGGCATTTGCTTGTCAAGCATGAGTAGACCTATTTCTTATGAGAGAGCAGTGGCGTGGAAAGTTATGAATGAAGAAGATAGTCCTCACTGCATCTGTTTCATGTTTGTGAACTGGTCGTTTGTCTAAGATACTTTTGCCTAGATCTGCTTTTGAGGGATCAGTAAACTCAACCTAAGAACCCTCAAATATCTCCCTAAGAACCATTTTGGACTAGTTTGGTTTGTGAGACTTGTTTATTATGCTTTCCTTGCTACTCAGGAAGTTTATGCTATGTCTTTGATGCCTTATGCTACTTGAAATCGTCACATATATCTAATTGGGATAGTGGATATGGGATTATTATGAATGTGAACTTAATACTCTTTGCATAGAAGGGCAGAGGAAGATAATCACAACTGGCTAATAGTCTAGTATCACTAGGGGTAACAATTTAAAGGCTGGTTTTGAGGGGTAAAAGTTTGTACTGTTGTACATGATAGCTGATTTTGCGTTATAAGATAAGTACTGTTTATCGGTTAAAACTGACAAAACCAGAGCTTTACGCATCTTCTTAATTGTGAGGCGTCGTTGCTCATCCGACTGCTTTATGTTGAACTATGATTGTAATTTTTAGGTATGAACCATGTGTTTGATTCGTGTGAACTATCTTTCACTTCACCATAACAGGAACCATTTGTTAGTTACTCTAACCATTGCGATCTTGCGTATGGTCTTTTGCTAGTGTCATACTTGAATATATTCGTAATGCAACAAAAATTTATGACGATTGCCTTTTTACGATTAGTTTTGAAATTGCACAAAACTTTCTCGAACTGCACATGCACAAAAAGTAGGCAAACTGCGGAATGGATTTACTAAAGTCAGCGGAAAGGCGATACATACACGTATTACTGTGAGTCCTTTTTTCCCTTGGCTAAATGAAAGCACTTCAAAAACAAACAATCAGATAAGACATACTACAAAATAATTAAGGCTTGAGATCAATAGCAGTACAAGTTTAACTTTATTATAGCACAACTCCGTTGAGGGTGAATAAACGTCAGATCAGTAACTTGGACCTTAAACATGACGTTAAAAAGCTAATAACATGATCAGGAAAAGGTTAAAAACTTGGGAAACAAACCTAAAAAAACCTCACTTGGGTAATAATTAAGTGTTTACTCCGAAGCTTATCCATAATATTAGCTAGGTTGCAATATTAAGATCATTCATCTCTTTAGTAATTGCAGGAATGCAACTATTTGTTCTTGTAATTCCACCCTTCTTTGGAATAATTCTATCCCTTGGACTAATAGATTTGGCCCTCATTATTCCCTTAGTGCTCTTCTTATACATCTCTCTCATTGCCTCAGCTTGATAAAGAACTGGATAAGCCCTACCAAATTTATTAAACTTACTACAAGCATTCATATGAACACTTAATGCTTCTTCATTCTTTCCTCCATTTTTTTCTGCTTCTTCTTTCACTGCATCAGCACAAAGTCCACATATCCACTTACCCGAATACATTTTTCGAACTCGATTAATGTATTCGGAAGTGTATTCTTCACTCATTCCACAGCACTCGCATTTTGCATTTTCTACTTCTGAGATTGGAGGTAGATTTGACTCATCAATAGTATCTTCTTTGTTCATCCAATCGAAGGAGATATCGGACATTGTCCTTTTTAGGCTATCGTTTGAGAGGCGTGGGGGTTTGCTTAGGTTTTTTGTTCGAATATTGTTGGAACTGGGAATAGTCTCTCCATGTGGTGCCATTTGAGAAGTAAAATGTACTTTAATTTGGAAAGAATATTGCTAATTATATAAATGGGTGTATGGAGTTGAGATCATGTAACTAAGGATGGGAAAATATGAAGATTGTAGGTTGCTATTTATAGTTGTTGGCTGCTGTTTGTTTTTTCAAGTTGGAAGCTGGAAAGTTACTAAGTTGTGGACCATGGGAACTTACATGTCACTTTTCATTTCTACTTTGCATGAATTGTCTTGAATTTACTAGATTTTTCATTGTATAACTTCTCTATAGTATACATTAGAAGGGTAAATAAGTAAATTCGTAACATGAAAAATAAGTCAAACAACCTAATATATGATGTTAATTAAATTACACGGATAGTTTAATAAAATTTTAAGAAATCAATCAATATTGTTGCACATCGGGACATCAACATAAGAAAGGTACGTGCATGATCTTATGCCACTCTTTGCTCTATTGGCTTTTGCTTCGGGAAATCAAACAATACATTAACTTCCGTAGTATGTTGTTTCGTACGTTTTCTTGAATCAAGTAGAAGTACCTATTTTACTAAGCTCAAATGTATATTACAGATTTTTAAGAAAGAAATGACGAATAACAAATACTTATCCTCCTTCAGATGCGCATTAAAAGTTATCAATGCATAAATATTACCAAGTTTACTAAATTGATTATTATGTATCTTGTTTAGTGCGACGTAGGTAAAACCATTTCGGCGACTACACTAACTAAAACCTTATGAAGCTGAAATACTTTTTATGTGCTTTGTAACTTGTAAGTTTTAGTAAATTTTATATTCAGAAAATAAACAAAGATTTATTTAAAAGAGTTCAAATTATATATAACCAACAATGTAATACACCATCAGTGCAATTCTAACCTATAATATCAAGTTGTATAGGTTATCCATTTAGGTTTATTAAATAAAGTTATCTTTAATTATTTTATAAGTGATACCTTGGGGTATAAAATGTATTTACACCGGCTAGTGCTTAAAACTTAAACTCTATCTAAAATTAGTTGAAAATTGGATAGTTCATCGTATTATATTTCTTGTTATTAAATATGAAATGAAAATACTATTTTGCAACGTTCGGTGTAGGAATTTTCTTTTAATTGAATATAGCATTAGGAAATAGATCTAATATGCCCTGATTTTATGTAGATTCTAAAACTAAATATGCATGTTTACTACCTTCATTTCCTTTTTCTTTTCGTTTTAAAAAATGCAAGTATGTATAACTACTTCCTTGGTTGAGGTACGTCTATGATCAGTAGCCACTACAAAAAAGAGATCAACTTGCTTTACTTCACAAGTTGGCCTCAATCGACCATTCAACTTAGTTATAAGTTTTAACCAACTTTTGTTACTTTTTTTTTCTTACCAAAAAAGACCAAAGTCATACATTAGAAAGTATACGTATGCAAATATTAGACCATCAGTCTCCCCCTATTCCCGTGAAACTGTAGTTATCATGTTATAACCCGGCGGAGCTAGCGGGAAACGGGTTCGACCGAATCACGTAGTTTTGGTCCAAATCATGTATTTGTCTTATGAAATTAATTAAATAATGTAATTATGATTAATTTAGAACTCAATAACATAAACGAACTACAATCTTGAATTCATAAACTTTAAATCATGGCTCCGACATTGGTTATAACATACATATAACTTATCATTCGTGTTGTTTATGGAAGTAACTAAAAGGATGTAACAACGTCTCCATCAAATCACAGGTTTCTTGATATGTATATAAAAAATAAAATTATTGCTGCATCGTAAATGATCAGAACCATTAGTTGCAATGAATACATGTGAAAATGAAGCTTGTATATAACATAGCTCTACTTTCTTTGTGCGGCTGAAACTAAGTATACACTTAAAGTTTCTCTTGGCTGATGTCGGAAGTTGAGAAATATCTGACTTTTATATGATCGATCGTTTCCCTTCTCTTCATGTGGAGGTGAATAAAAGAAAATAGCTTGGATTTTAGACATGATTATCTATTGATAGCATCTAATTAAACCCTCTTTGTAGGCATTATTATCGACTGTAATTGAGCATGTCGGTTATTCGACACGAAGTTAACGAAATATTAGTATTCTTCGAAAGTACTTAAACAGGGTTTATTTTTATTGGAAGGAAAATGGCTTTTCACAGAATGATATGAAGGAAAATTGACATTGGTTTGTACATGTGTGTTACCAGCATATATGACAGAAATTAATTTGGCATTTTACAAAGTCAAACATTTATGAGGTTAAGTTGGATATCATATTGTGAAGCGGCACTCAACATCTATTAAACAAGACCAAATACTTCCTCCGATGACGTGTACAAGAAGGTTTTTGCCAATTCCTATAATATGGTGCATCTCTTAGTAGAGGGGAGTGAAAAGTGGAAACTTTCACTTACAAGCAGTCGAGAGAATGTAGCTCAGTCTAGTTATTGACATGCTTTTCTTAAGGACTATTGGGATTTTCTGGTTCTGGAAAATGAGGCAATCAAATCAGATATTTCGCCTATCTTTCCTGAACGAGAGATAGAGGAGGCCCAAAGGTATAAAAGATGTTCAGTAGCCCATTAACATAGCTATATGAACACGGATTTGGGCCTTTATCTTAATGCCCATATTAGTAGATATTGATCCATTCCATTGCGGAGCAAAAAAAGAGAAAATATAAATTGTATTAAGATAACTTTTTTATTTGCTGAATAGTACAACTCGATCATGTACAAGAATCTGAAAAGGGGATAATCTAGTTTAGTATAAAAAATCTGACAATGTAAATTATGGTGCTACAACTTGTCAAATATATATGTCTTCCTCGCTTTTACCTTTTTTCATTCTTTAATAAATATATTAAAAATGGAGTAAGAATAAGATTTGTGCTAAACAGCTATTCAAGCAGAGAACACGTGAAATTTTGCAAGAACTATCTTAAGTAGTGGGTTTCTTTTCCTTTCTGTAGCAGAAAAGGGAGTCCTTTAATTTGGTACATAGTTAGATAACAAGTACAGTCCAATTGCAAAGTATGTACATTGAATTAGGTAACTTAATCGATCGGAGACAACAGCAAATTGCAAATTTTTTGCTTTTTCACTAATACGGCCTAAATATTGCTACCATATTTAGTTAATCACTTTTAAAAGCTTCAAAATGCGTTGTGAGCTTCAAAAAGCGCAAACAAAAGCATGAGAAGGGAAACTCCTTAAGTTAAAAATAAGCAAATATTAAACGCATGCACAGCTTTTGGAGCTGGAATGATCTTTTTTATTATTTTACCTTTTTGTTTTAATATTTATTTAGTTGTAAACAGCTGTGTTTAAGAGAGAGGAATTAAGAAACCCCGGTTGAACTGGGAAAAAGTAGGGATATTCAAAGTCATAAAAATGTTGATTGTTTAAACGTTCTCGAGTTTGATCGTATTTCAAAAGCTTTCAAGTACATTATAGAACCAAGAAAAATAGTAGTCAAAATGCACTTTAATTCCGTCAAGCTAAATATATTCAAGCACATATAAATTAAGAATTTAACTGCACTTAATATTTATATATGATTGCAAAATATCGGTACGAATAAATA